CAGTCTTACCGTCATTTCCGGCCGGGTTGTTCTTGTTCCTGATTATCTGTTTGTTGTTCGTTTTCTTTGAATTGGAGTTAATTTGATAAAGTTACGAGTGTAGCCGTTGCGAGTGAATACGCTAAACAGATACCCTTGGTTTTTTGGTGTCTGTGCTGTAATGTGCTTGGATTCCTCACAACAGGCTACTAACATAGGAACTTTTGTGGCTGCATGGATGACTACTTTTGATGTTCTGGATTTGATCCGTATTTGTTGCTCTGCAGTGGACTATTGTCTGCTGGTTTCCTGATGGCGCGCCGGTGATCCAGATGTCCATAAGTGCCGGTTGTTTATCGCTCTGTAATTAATATTAGGTAATTGGCGTAAAAAAGGTTTCCCAAAGAACGGGAAGTATTTTTGGGAACAAGTGACGGAAGTGACGTACTTTTCATCGGTCTAGTTTGTTTTGTTATAAAACTCCCAATCGATTTTTTAAACTACTTAATAGCCTCTACTACTGACTATTATGCTATATCGCGGCTTTTGGAATTTACCCACTTTTTCGACTTCCCGAAGGTTGTCACATAGCAAGAGGTCTACCAAACTGTCCCCCTCCCCAACAAAAAGATCTTAGAGGGAACTGTTAAATCGCTTGCTCCCTCAATCATAATCGAACTTTCTGAACGAGTCTTGTCGTTGCGGCTTATAACACAGCTTGCCGAAAATGGCACGCATCAATTTACCTATTTCTCGTCGAACTCCACACTTGATGCCCTTAAACATCTGGTTAGCTCAAATGTTTGCAGTTTTACACAAAAACATGTTAGGTGGACAAATTGGGGGTTTGCACTACCGAATACCGGTAAAAGTGGGCTGGATCGATCACTATTGGTCAATCTCCTTGCGGAGATGATTACTGGTCTGATTGCTTGCTGGTTGACTACATGATAAATCAGCAATCAAACACATTTCAAGTTCGCCGGTCACAAGAAACCACCTCATCTTGTTGCTTCTGGTGCCCTGCAAGCTGCATTTATATCCCAGTTTTTCTCTCTCTCGTATGTTTTAACTAACTTTTTATTTCATTTAAATTGATCGAGTTTAAATATGCCAGTTGTTGTGTGGGATACAAATAATTAATCATGAGGTGGCAGGTAAGCCATTTCAAACAAATTAACCCATCGGTATATCGTGGTAGTCCACTAAATTTGAGGAATGCTATGTTTTCATGTCGACTGAGAAAACTTAAAAGGCCCTCCCCGTTTCCGTTTATAGTGCACTAACAACGGTAATCGGTAAATATCAGGGTATAATTCTTACAAACAACAAATCCCGCCATGGCACATTCAGCATAGATTTTTTAGAAGTGCATCGATTTTACACTTCCTTTTAAACGTTGAATATTTGGATTAGCCCATTCGGTATCTCACAGGCACCGGGCACTGTTGAAGGTTTTGAGTTTGGGTTTAACTCTTTGGGAGATTGTTAATAGCCCACCAATTAAATGTATTTATATGACCGTGTTCGAAATTTCACACAGAGTAGGAATTTAAAACCCGATCAATGGGAAGCAGAAACAATTGGTAAGCATAGCTGTGTTATATCGCTTTTTATCAATGTCTTTGGAAGAATCTGTGAGATATTTTTATTAAACCAAAAAGGGTGGTAGAAACTCCGAAGATACATCTAGCCAGGTTCAGCAAGCGACCATTGACAATTTACTTAACCTGATTAGTGTCTGTTGCATGCTTTGGCAACTGCGACCCAGGTTTGTATAAAAACGCAAAACCTATCAGTAGTTAAGCTATTTACCACGGCATTCCTCCAACCAAAGCGGTTATGTATTGTCTGCCATGCGGGCGAATTCCCATTGCTAGTTTTGTAGTCTCTCCTAACGCAAATCCCTGTTAAGAAACCATCGCATCCTAAGTGTCTAACAATCTCGGGAGATGAGAATGTATATTCTTATTTGCATTTGTATTTGTATATGATTTCTAGGTGCCCGCAGATGGAATTCAGTAATAATTTTCGGAGAAAACAACGAAGTAACGAAACTTCAAAAAAGCGATGACTGTATACGTACGTAGGTGAAAATTGGCAACGTGATTATGTTTCTTCCTCATTTGCATCAGACTACTCATAAGTAGTTAAAGTGTGACAGCACATCTAATGTTACATTTAGACTCTGTTTTTGTGTTGTTCCTAGAGATTCAATCATTTCAGAAGTCCAACCATGAAATATTTACCTAATCCCGTTTATTCCGAATCCAAAATCAGCAATATTTCTGCAAACGGCGCTCTCTGTGCTGGAAAATCTGTTAACTCAAACTTATTTTGTTCTCTCTTATACCTTCAGCTCCATTTTTCACAAGTGATAATAATTTGTTTTTTCCTAGAGGTCGAACATTTATTCACAAAGTCCCCACCAGTGATTCACATCTACCAATAAGGTGAAATTTCCCCTTCGTGGGGTTTCATTCAGTCTTTCATCCCTTCTAGACACGCTCATCGATGCTACCGCTTCGTGGTCTTTTTGCTCGACTACTTCACCTCTTTTCTTTTTTGAACTTGTGCTGTTCCATTGTAACACGGGTTTGTTTTGGTGGTGGGACTACTTCTTCTTATAGAGTGCTTAAAGTTAGCGAAAACGGAGGAACTGGCATCCACATCTCGGTGGACTGTAGCATACAAGCGGTAATCGCTCCTGATCAACGAAGAGTCTAAGTGTCTGGGTGTGCGCTTCAAACATTCAAACATTTCGGCGTGACTAGCATTGATGAAAACGTTCATAAATACTGATCTCGATGGCCTACCACTGCAAATCTCGAGTATGGAGCGGCCAATCCAATTTGAGAGCCAAATTTTATTTAATATATTCAAACTTATTTGGCAGATTTAAGTCTTACGTTGAAATTGTGAAAAGATCAGTGGCCTCGTTGGGATTCGAACACACACATGTACGCCGCCTGCGCTTTTGTACAGTGCACTCTTCACCAGCTGCTCTTTCCGGCAGCCGTTCCCCGATGAGCACAATTAAGCTGAAACAGAGAGACGAATCGGTCCTATGATCCTTATATGTCCTACATCCAAAGGGTACAGAGATGGTGTTTTTAGCGGACTGTAAACAAAATTAGAAATATCTTCCGAGCTATTCGCTCTTACTTAGTATTCTACGCAATTCCTTCACTTATAAATCCTCAGATAAATCTGTAAAAGCAGTCTGTTTTTTTTTCAACACCTCTGGAGTAGTCTAGGAAACAGTGATAGATTTCAGTATTCTATCTGTGTATTGTATTCTAATAAGCCGACAATATTGCCCAAATGATTTTGTCCCATCACAAATTTTGGAAACTCCTCTAAACACTTCCGAAATGGATCAACTCAACCCAATCTGGTCGTTGGCTAAACTCCTCCGAAAGCCAGGAATTTGCTTCGTTTGTTACCCTCTGTTTCTAAATAATTCTTTAATTCGATACGATTGTCCTATTTCGAGTAAGCTTTTCAAGTAACTGGTCACGCACTTAAATAATAACCGTAAAACATTATACCTCAAGGTGTTGGGAAATGTTGACAAGTGTACTTTAAAGCGCAGATCACAGTCCACGTCGGAATCTCTCGACCATGTCACCCAATTTGGAATATACCATTCTGAGATTCAATTGAGAAACCATCGCTTTCAATTGAGAAACTGTCATTTTGAATTGATCCGCTTCCGTTTAGCGCACCCTACTCATCAATTGATCACATGTTTTTTCTACCCCCAGGGTGATAAACTTTCTTCCCACGCTCTTTCTTTGATGAAACAAGGCTTGTGTATGTTGTCGACCTCGATGACGGACGTCCATTCGGTGGGTCAGTGAAACCGTGTGATTTCCACCGGACAACGCAGTTAAGCCCGAGTCGATAAGCCCGAAGGATGACGAACTGTTGCTAAAGTACAACTGATCGTAGTCGTTTGGACACTGACGGTAGCTCAATAACCAAAGTTTGCCACAGTAACTACGACCAAGGACGAGTTTTGTGCTTACGGTGTACTCCGAATGATGTACTTTTCATTAGGTGGATCAAGGGTGTATCCGAATATAAAGATTGGTTTAGCGACATGGATTGGAGTTCTTGGGGTGACGGGGGCGCCTTTCATCAATGACCTAGCAACCAAAAGCAGTGACTTCTCAACGGCAGCTCACTTATTCCTGGCTCAACCTACAAAACCAAAAGAAACAGAACACAGTCAATGCGTGTGATAAAGAGTTACTGGTTGTCGATGCATCGCCACACAATGCTCTGGTTGTGAAAAGTTTTCTCGATTCGCAATTTAACTGCAGATATCATTGAACGAGGAGGACCAAAGGAATGGCCTCCAAGATCATCTGATCTGTCTCCTTTAGATTTCTTTCTGTGGGGATATCTAAAGCAAACCGTTTATTCTTGAAAACCGAGAACGATCGAGGAGCTTAAACAGACTATCCTCAAGCAGTGCGAAAGTATCCCAATTGCAACCACTCTGAAGGTGGAAGAAAACTATCTTCGCTGTGTTTTGTTATGCAAGCAGCAGAATGGAAAACATATTGAATAACTTTCAGCAAATGAATATTCATTTATCCATAATATTTGTTCTTTCTATCTAAATCCTGTCTCCGACATAGTTACGAAGATCGTTCAACGCGAAAAAAGCCAGTTGGGAAAATAACAAGAGGAGTTTTGCTTGAGCCTATATAAGTGGGTATTGCAGTACGTACTTAAGACGTACTTAAGACTTCAACATGTTCAATTTACAGTGCAGTTATTGTTTGACAGACCGCATGGAAAGGATTGTCATTGTAGAAAGAACCACGAGGATAATTTTATTTAATCAATGATATTTTAATGTTCGGCGAATAATCAATGCTAAATCGAGTAGTTGTAATGCTGTAAATCTACTCTAACTTGTTTTCTTGATCTGAGATAAATATATGACTAGATTATTCCACATCCATACGGTATTTTCACCTCCAGGAGGGACTCGGGACAAGGCGATTTCAGCTCTGGCGATTTTTGGGTCTTGGTCGGTTCAGTCGAATTCGGGCCCATAAATGATCGTACACATGATGACCGTATCGAAACCAGAAGATTTCACAAATCAATGCACCGACGCTGAGGCCAAGTGAAGCCAAAAACATGATAAACACGGAACTGCAGCCTTTGGCGCTCAGCGGTTCGTAGATCTTGGTCGATTCTTGACACCTGTGAAGTAAATTGGACCATTTTGTATGAATCCGATTGATCACTCCGGTCTCCTTGAGTTTAAGCAAACTGGAACAGAGAGTTGAGGTGAGTAATATGTGAAAATCGTTCTGAAAATCCAGAAAAGAACCTGTAAATAAATGAATGTGTGCACAACTATGTGTGCGTATGTGCGCGTGGTGATATCCCGGGACGTGCATTGAGCATGAAAACCGGTCAGCAGGAATTAGGGGTGATAGTTTTCTAAATGTAAAATAAAATCTTATCTTTTTAATCTAAGTAAATCAAAAATTTAAGTATCTTGTTTAACTGTTCTCATCGGCTGAATATATCTAGGTAATTTAGTTTACTGTGCGTTTCAAGTTCACTTTCCGGGTCAAGCTCCTGTGGAAACTGCGGCACTAAACCAGACGTTAATAACAGCAATGATTGTGAGCTGTAATGCTATCCGGTGATTCAACACCTACTTACTTTACTACGGCTGTTTCCTTGGTAAGGATAAGCCGGCTCCAGACATCATCATGATCGTTATCATGAAGTTCCTTGAGAGTTTGGTACAAGAGACCTCCCCAGCATCATTCGTCGTTTTTATTTTGAGGGCGCACCTCTAGTCTTTGCACAACCAAGTGGGAACCGCAAAGCAGCAAGAAGCAATCCCTCGCCTCGGAAGTGAGGGGGTCAATGACTAGTTTTTAAAGGCCAGTCTCATTGACCTTTGTTCCGACACTGTCATTGGGCTTATGCGGCTTTTAAACAGGGGCCAAGTGACCAGCCTTAAATCCGCCACATCCTGGTAGTCTCCACACTGTTTATTCGCTACTGCTTATTTGTTGCGGTATGCCACAACTTCCGGAAGGCTAACCTTCTTTGTAAAGGTACCACCTTATCTATAACCCGGTAACACGCCTGGTAGCATTCAGCTCTGCTTAACCTGAGGCTTCACCAGACAGGGAGCGAGGATTCAGAACGACCACTGGGAGACTGGTTTTCCAGACCAATCAAAATCGACCGCATTCAAACAGGAATCATGTGTCCAGAGGAACATGAACTACGATTATTCAATGATACTCTCTTGTACATAGTATTTAATCGCCTTGATTTCGTTCACAAACTTACTGCTACTTTCGTGATCTTTTTTCTGCTTCTCCGAGGCGGGTAAGTCCTTTCAACGACGAATACCGGCACGCCTTAGTTTTCGGATTACGATGGTGTATCTGGTTGCGCATTGCGATTACAACATGTTCTCACTGGCGGACCAACGACCATAACAAGAGATCCCTGACAAAAATGTGTGACACACGGCGTGAACACTGTCCGATTTGTACACCACATCGAAACTCACTAGATTTTCATCACGGAAGCCCATTCCGCATCATCTCGACACATCATGGCTTTCTGACCCTGGTCTATGCCACTGGAAATCACGACCAACTCGGTGCATCGCATTTTCTGAATAAAATTCAACGCTGTGCTACTGCCAATCAGTACATTTTGCGGATTGTCCAGAACCATTTGCACACCGACTGCCGTGCTGTTGACCAAACTTGCGGGATTCGCAATGATTCGTTTGTATAGGATCTCATATCCGGGATACGTTTTGGTATCCTTAACATAGAAGGGGGGAGGAATGTGTTTGCAAAAATATGTAGAGGTCAATATACAACTAACTGAGCTCCCGTTGAAAGATACAACGTTGCGATTGGTTTCATTATCATGTTAAGCAAGAACGTTCAAGGTTTTTTGTGATTAATAATTCTGTGTGCAATCCAAATACACTGACTGTGGAACATCATGGCCTCCGTTTCGATTGTCTGGTATTTCCCCTCTGTGGATCTGTGCTTGAACTAGGACCTGTAAAATGCAATGAATTATTCTCAACAGGTTATTCTCCGTTTGGGGTGACACTCAATAATTTGAGACAGAGTGTAGTGTTTCTTTTATGGCCTCAATAGCTGTTCCCTAGAACACTTAGTACGGTGCGAATCGCACTCGAACACCGTTTGGATTTGTGTACGTGTGGTGATCCAAGCCAACGAGATGACGCCTACCCTGGAGCGGTGCGTTACAGTTTTTGGACAGCTGCGATCAATCAAATTTCAAAGGTGGCGTCAATTACGGGCGTACATATCACTGCTTCTGACTACACACCATAGGCAGATCGTGCCAGCCAATCCGAGATAGTGCAGTGTAGACAGGAGCAGCATGACGCAAGCAATACCGGAACGCGATTGGTGGAAGCCTGGGTAACCAATGATTTTCTTTTGTACATATTATTTAATCGCCCTCATTTCTACCAATAAACGAACTACCATTCCTGTACCCTTTTTCTGGCGTCTCAGTTAGGTGGGACATTGCGTGCTAGTGCCATTGCGGTCTAGTGCTTCCGTGATAGCTGATCCTTGGTTCGTGTTCCGTGGTTCGTATTACGTAGTCCGTGTTTCGAGTTCCATGCGTATTGCTACTACGACTACTACGACTATAGTACGCTGGCTCCACTAAGAGAACAATGACAGACCACTGAAATGGCGCGAAGAAAACGGTTGGAAATGATAAGAAATCATGTAGTCTGTAAATTTGTTAATTAGCTTAAAATAAGCTTCTAATTCGACACGTTTCTTGTGCACACTGAAAAACACTCATTCTGAAGATTTCGAATGAGGATTATCAGAATACAACCCTAGAGCAAAAACAGTTTACCTTACGCGTGCATCAGTTACCATTTATAACAAACGAACACGTAGTATAACGATTACTAACGTTGCTTGGTCACCGCAGGTTAAAAGCTATAAATCTTATTGAATCGAATATTCCGTGTGTTCCTTAATGTATTTTAGAAGAACCGCAGAGACAGAGAAAAGTCGGCTTGGTAGCGGATCGCATCTTCACAGGAAAGTCAAAATATGTTGTGGGCTGGGTAGAAGTCAGCTACGAATAGATAGCAAAGTATAGACACGTTTTTGCAATGAATCTTCTTCCCACAGGATGGCCTTGGAAACGGGATAGCAACATGATGAGTCAAGGGATTATTCAATAGAAATCAAATACTGCGAACCGTAATCCTGGAGATGGTACTCACTCTTAAGAAACTCAGGACCGCACTCCCGTTCACAACCATCGGATTGTATTGGGAACTAGTGGCCAGATCCGCGAACGATTTCACCGCGAACACCACCTTGTTTCGAGTCAGAAATGCGGTCACATCCGCTTTCCATGCCATGAACAACAGGAACGCCATGAACAGATACGATATCAGAAGGAGCCGAGTGCACGGGGCGCGTGGAAACGCCATCAGATCTGGGGCGGGTCGGAACAGACCGTGGTTGGATTGCGGACAAACGAAAAATACAAATCCGGGACTAGATTGTCGTGGACAAACAACAGAGTTACCCTATGATGAAATTAGCCTGTCTCAGCCACGACGAACGAAAAACCAAAACACAAGGGGTTGATGACAACGTTGTCACCTTGTGTTTTGGTTTTTCGTTCGTCGTGGCTAAGACAAGCTAATTTCCTCAATAATCATGGGCACGACGCACAAGGTTTTCAGTGAAATCCGTTCCATCCATGGATCTCGTGTGATTACAATTACTCCATCCCGTCTAAATCCTCTTTTCACATGAGACAACACATTTGATCATCTTGCTGCATTTGAAGATTCTGTCAGTGAAAGTACTAGTACTACTAGTAGTACTGGCATTCCTGATTAGCTGATCTCAGTCGCACCAGTAGTACCCTTTTTGCACTTCCTTTTCGAGTGGCCATCAAAAATGTTATAACCAGTGAGTGAGTTCACACGAAAAATATGACCATCAGCTAAGTGGGTACAGCTTCTGAACAAGCCGGGACAGACAACCATTGGGTTGTGGTCGTCATAGCGTATTGGCTGTGTGTATTCGGTGCTCTCATGTGAAATAAAAGTGCACACCTGTATTTCCTTTGTTCACTGGTTTAAAACTAACCTATTTACACTAAATAGTCAAGGAAGGATACGGGGAAAGATTGTCATTAAATCGGACAATCGTGTCTAATTACGGATTAGAATCCGCGTCAGTCAAATAAATTCTGAAGAGAACAGAGACGTGTGTAGTTTACAGCACAGAGTTGGAGGGAGTTTCTTGTTGCAAAACAATAAAACACATAGGTGAGTATATCTGACATTTTAATAAGAATCAAATTCCATCGGTTACCGTAAATATGGTGTTACTTCCAAGAGAAGTTGACCCCAGGCACTCTAGTGAGCTCCTTGAGTCAGGGGATTTTTAATCTAATGGAACATGGAATGATGTTGTTTTCATTCGGTGCCATCAGGTTGTTGAAAACTACCAAAGAACCTTCGCAACACACTTGATAAATTCAGCGAAGAACCGAGATAGAGAGAAGGAGTACCCTCAAATAACGCTAGCAAATATGGGTTAAATCCCAACTGGTGTAGGTAAACAAAGTGAAGTTGTCCGATCAGTTATCCGCAAGTGAGTTATCTTATCCCCTAAACAACCGTACTCAGTCACAAACACCGAACAACTCCATATGTATTGGTCGGAGAACTGTTGCAAACGGGGAGCAAAAATCGTGTGGGACTGTGTGTGATGATGTACCGTAGTCACTGGAAACTGGAGACCGGCGGATGTATAAACATGCATTGCCACCGACTTTGAATCCAATAGAAGTGATCTTTTTGGGATCAATATTCACCAAAACAGAGCTCGGAAATCTGTAGGGTTCAGATCCCGATTGGTGTTGCAGAATGATCCAACTGGATCGGTAAATGACATGCGTGGGAGGTCTTGCTCAGTCTCAAAATCCGTAAGGCTTAGCTTCAGCATGCATCAATCCTTGTTCTCCATTCATAGGCTTTATGTGTAATATAATTGACGATTCTAGGTCTTCTACTGATTAAACAAACGTGGCTGTGATCGAGTCCAAGGAGTGAGAAAGTTTGAATGGCGTTAAAGTTGTCACACTGTGATCGAGAACATTCCGGTAGAATATAATCCACGTGCAATCGGAATCGGATAATTGCATTACAAGACAT